TCATGATAGCACAAGTTCAGTCTAGCATGTTTGAGGCCGTTTTGCCCTTGTCAGGGCGTGCTGGCGCATGAAGCAGCCTCGCCCCCGACGCACCTGATAATTTGGTAACAGTAAGTACGCTTGGGTTAAAAATGGGTGCATCTTCATTTTCGTGCCAGGGCAAGAGTCTGCTTGAGTCTAGCTTGTGAATTTGGGGGTTCCGCTAGGCTTCACTGGCCATTACTTCCGTGCCTACGCAGCACATCTTGAAATTTGGTGAGAAAAAGAACTCAATTTTAGAAGGTAGTGTATTTTGTAGGGCAAGCAGAATCACGTGATTTTGGTTGTGGTTTGGTGGACTGAATTTGACTAGAAGTCAATTCACTGAACGAATTCTAATCACTAAATGAATTCTAATCATTATTTTCTCTTTTCCTTGGAGCTACTTGATGCCCGGGGGCCTCATGTTGGTTTCCGCTGCTCTAGTATGTCCGAGTGGCATTTGTACAGTGACGTAGCTCACCAGTTAAGGTTGTTGGGTTGAGGAAGCTGTTTGGAGAAGCGGACTACCCCGGAAAGGTCCTCGTAAACGACAATGTCACTGTCTTGTTTCAGTCGCAGTTTATTGTGCCTAAAAAAGCCAGAAGAAAATCCATTTCTTAGATGTTGGGAATCACGAGGGACTGAATGGCTTTCTTTGTTCTTTACAGCCATGAAGAAGAAAATACTGTAATGTTCTTTTTCAAAGTACCACATATCAAAACATTATTTATGTGAGGGTATGTTAGTAATTTAAGGCGGAATAAAGCACAGATTGTGAAACAATGGGTGGGTATTTTTCCTTTTTGCAATCCAAACATGCCCTCAGGTTTAATATATTTCATTCAGCATAACAGTGAAGGACAAGAGGCATTGATGTTGGCACAACACACATATCCTGCAATTCTTCGTGTTGGAGACTTTGGTTTATTTTTGTGTTCCTACTATGTTCAGTCACGTAACTGGTGCAAAGGTTGAACAAATTCTCGAAAAATTGTCTCGTCATGACATGATGAGAATTAAGTGAGTCAAGGTGAAAAAAAAACAATAAATGAATTAATAACAGAAGCTCATCAGTCAAAAAGGAAAGTTAAGACTACCAGAGAACAGGTTGCCAGGTTGGCAAAAATGGCCGAAATCCTGTGATGCACTCGAACACCAACGTCCCAAAGCTCCAGTAGTCCACCGCAACCGTGTACTTCTTCCTCTCAATCAGCTCGGGAGCCTGAAAGATAAAAATCATGGAGGAGGTCAGTAGTACAAAACCATGATGCCATACAATGTGTCTGACTGACCAAGTACTGCAGCGTTCCCACAAAGGAGGTGCAAAGGCTGCTCTGGTCCAACTCCTTCGCATAGCCGAGGTCAATGATCTTGTGGATCAACTTAAACAGAGAAGAATAAAACAATGGTTTCAGTTTTAAACTAATATCAATAATTACAACCACGTGTATGAGAATACTGTGTGGGTTTGGTTGCCTTACATGTTTTCAATAGTTTTGTTTTATTTGTCGCTTCCTGTCATGTCTATTCTACTTCCTGTCTCTGTCCCATGAGCTTCACATGTGTCCAATTGTCCTCATTTCCCTTTTAATATCCTGGCCTGGCTTGTGTGGATTCCTCATGTCTGATCATTCAAATGCTAATCTTGGAATTGTTTGTCCTAGGTTGCCTTCTCGTGAATGAGAACGAGGGGATTTGGATTATTGAACTGGATGACAATCAAAATTCAAAATGTATTGCCTCCACCTTTGTGCCACGGTTGGTCCTGGAACTTGACTACAATCTATAGCAGTAGACAGAAATTCTAGTTCAGTTAGAAAGAATGTGAATACCATTCATTTGTTGCAGAGGTGGATCGTGAAACGTGCAAAAAAAAATGTAATAAAATCTGGACATGTAAAGTTAAGACAAGCACTTGTTTATTGGACATAAGATTTTTGGGAAACATTTCCTTCATTCTTCTTTTTTTTTTGAAAATCTCATATAAAACGGATTTATAAGCTGCCAAGAACATTCTAAAGCAGGGGTGTCAAACCCATTTTCGTCGTGGG